CCAGGAGCGTTCAGCTTGGACGAGGTTAGGCTGAAACATATGATCCCTCCTCTTGCCAAGCACAAACGTCAGCTGCGAGCGAGCTCCAAACGCCGCACCGAAGCCTGCACAAACGCGCCATCGCTGGGAGGCGCAGCTTTAGGCAACGGCAAGGAACGGTCAGCAAAGGCTCGTGCCTTGCTTCCGAGCTGCTGTATTCCAAAATCCTGCAAATTCTAACACCGATTCGAGCCATGTATTTCAAACTGCGGTTTCTGCAGTGAGCGCCACAGGACACAAACAAGGCCATTTCTGGATATTTCCTAAAGAGAAAGACCAGAGCGCTTCGCTGAGCCCTCCTCACCTTCACTGCCTCCACCTTTTTGTGAGAAGCTCAGAGGGAAGGGAAAAGGAAAAGCCCTGACTTCGCATGGCCGGGCAGTAACGAGGTTTCCCCAGCACCAGAGGCCCTAACGCGATGCAGCGGAGAAGCCCAACAACTGAACCATGGTCCGAATCGCAGGATTTTTGTGAAATCTGGAAGTCATGGTTAGGTTACCCAACTAGAAAAACTTCAGCACAATTCCCTGTTGTCTCTGTTCACTCACGGCTATGCCGCTCTGCCACAGCCCTGGGGACACGCTGCCATATCCCCTTTTCCCGCTGGCTCCAATGGCTCCAAGGGAAACATCAGCAGCCGGAGTGCGAGGCTGAACATCACGGGACAGTGAGGGGGGGCTGAGCCCCTCTGTGATCTGGTACCTTGGCACAGGCTCTTACTGACTTATTTGCTAACAAATGGAAAAACTTCCCTTAATGACAGCCCTTGTTCCTCTTCCCTGCTTCAACCTGAAAAGGTAACACGGGAACGAGGTTTCAAAGTCCTCTGAAAGTCTCTACCAAAGTGCAAAGGACCCAACATCTATTAAAATATGTTCCCCAGACTTTGTCACCCATGTTGCTGAAACAGACACCTTAAACAGCTCGTGGTGCCGACCGCGTTCCCCATCAGCTGCGGTGCCACGCAGCTCGCACGGAGAAATCCAGGGGATATTCCTGTTTGGTTTAGGATCCGCCTTAATTTTGAACGGGGACTCCCTGCGCTGCAGCAATCGGCCCTCTGATCCGCAAATCCCTCGTGCCTTCCTGGCGCTTGCCATCACGTCGCCCTGTCCCTGTCTTACACTCCTGTGCCATAAGACAGGCTGCCGCAGCTGTGGTCCTGGGCTCTTTCCTGCAAATAAGTTAATTAGCAGCAGCAGAGGGAGAAAAATATGTTCCAATGTTCATTAGTTATTTAACAACAGAAGTTGCATTTTCCAATATTAATAACACATTCTGGATAAAGGCCATTGCCAAAATACCAGCCATAAATGGCACCGTTCGCTGTCACCAGCCAGAAGGGCTTTGTATTTCTGAACAGCTCGTCGTTGAGGCTCTGACCCAGCAGAGGAGCCAGGTCACAAACTGGGTGACCCGTGCTAAGCACAGGCTCAGGCCCTCCTGAAGTCCAGGAGACCAAAACACAAGCCCAGGCACAGGGCGAAGCAGGGATGCTCACGGCCACGGGGGAAGGCCCGCCAAAGACGCCAGCCCCCTCCCTGTTGGATGGAGCCAATGGCACAACCTAAGGGACGCCCATGGCGTAAGGTCTCAGAAAGGGACAAATCCAGCAGAGCGACGGACACCGACCTCCACCTCCCCAGTCTTTTTAAGGGAGCACGAAAGCAAACGTGTCCTTTTCAGAGGATTTCCACGATGTGACACAGAACAACGTATTGACGCGTTCCTACCGTGTGACACAGTCAACAACTTCTACAGCGTGACAGTCACAGAAAACACCCGCTAGCCACGGAGGTATGGCCTCCCCCATCACAGCGCTCCCAATGGAGAAGGAACATTTCCTCCAGCCAGTTCACGTCCAGCTGCACAGGGAACGATGAATATTATTATTATTATTATTAACCTGGGTAGGTTATAATATCTGTAGATATTATTCTAATTAATACAATTTCTTCCACAATTACTAATCCTCCTCCATAATACCTTGTGACAAAGAATCGCACCGGTTCACATCACAGCACTTCTAGGGACTCCAGCGTGCTGCCTTTGGCTACAGCCGCAACCCGGCTTTACGGCAAAGCAAGCCGTACATACGTACATAGCCGTACATACATCCAATAGCCATTGCTAGCGCCGTGCACCAAATCGCACATCCCTGCTGGAGCTTACAGAAAACACCACCAGAATGGTGCTCTGGGCTTACTGGTTTTCTCGCCCTAATATTTTGGCCTTCAGACAGGAATGCTTACAACACAGAAAGGGACCCGTGAGCAGTGGAACAAAGAACCTCCAACTCTGTAGACTTCAACTTGGTATCTGTCTGCTGGAGCCTGTAAGCAGGGATTGAAAGAATGGAGCTGGCTTTAATTCACAACTAAATTATTTCTGTGCAAAACTGCTCACCAGCAGCTCCTACTTCAGAACAGAACTCATCTACTTCCTCTTTAATTAAAATCAGCATGGGTTTGGGGTTTAGTTCTTTCCACACAGACAGTCCACAGGGTGACTTGCATCAGAACAGCAAAAAGGCTGAATTCAAATCAATTTAGTTATTTCAGCTTACGTTTGAGACAGCGAATGCCTGAGAAGCCTCTAAAAAACTATATAGCTTCCACGCAGTGCACAGAGTTACCCTCTGAAAGGCTTAGAAACAGCCTAGCCAGGCACAGATGGGCGATGGATACAAGGCCTGGCCGCAGGCAAGATCAACGGCTTCCTTGCATTGACAGCAGACAAATGACATCTTACAGGCAGCAGCTTGGTGGCCTCTGAGCCAGGGTCCTTACCCTGCACCTCATTTTGTCAGCAGCCACGCTTATCGAATGCACTGCTCTCGGGTACCCAACATCTTGCAACGAACACGCCAACTCCTCAGCCCTGAGGATGTCCCAAAACACCACCAGCATGCTGGATCGACCTGCAAGCCAAGTATGCAATGAAGCCTGTTTTATCTGATGTCTCAAGGACAGAAAACTACTGACTGGGGGGGAGCTGGTTTGCACTGGACAGATTTAAGGTGATCTTGCTTGCCCAACAAGGCCTGCTTTTTCTTCATGTTTCATCGACGTCTCTGAAATAGGCGTCTCCTCCCTGCTCTCCCCCGGCCGGGTGACGCAGGCGGTTCGCTATCTTAGCAGCAAGGTCAGTTCAAAGGAGACAGAAAGCTCTTCCAGCCTGTTTCACCACTCAAACCCATTCTGCTCGGCGCGTAGGAGCAAAGCAGCCAACGGGCAAAACCTCAGCCCCAGCAAAGATGAGTTTTGCTGCAGACTCAGCGGGAGCAAAATGGCTCTCTGTGCTCTTGCTTGGCTACGCGCACGCATGTCAGACCTCAGCACGCCCCTGATCCGCAGGCTGACCTAACCACGTCCCCCGGGAGATGCTCCTGTCCCGTGCTCGCGCTCTGAGTGCACTGGCCCACAGGCATTAAGGTCAGCCCAGCCCTTGTTAGTCTTTCCTTGCTTTGCATCTGCCGTGCTGCTGTTGTAATTAATCCCATTTAGTCACCACCACTGACACAGCTTGTGACATTCAGCCATCAACAACGCACTCCCAAATCTCACGCAGGCTTTTTAATCCAACCTGGCTGTCCACCCACACTGCAGGTCTCACAAAAACTGAATCCTTCAACGACTAATGCAGGAACAAACCTGTTAAGAGAAGATTTATGGCAGAAATTCCAAGCAACGTCATTCAAGCTCTGTTGTTTAGGCCTATTTTTTCCAAAAGATGGAATAAAATGATTGTTTAGGAGTAAACCTACTGCAGTGTTATTTATGCACCAGTAACAGATAAAACCAAAGCAAGCAAATACATCGTCTCAATTCTCCACCACAAGACAGATTTTATATTGCTTTGTTGATCCTAAACCACAAATAAAAGAAAAAAAAACAATTTCTACAGGGCAAGAGAGAGAAGCAACGCAGAGACTTTTACTGCCCTGCTACCAAAACCTGCTTGAAGAGCGATGTCCTGAGCAATGTGGTTCAGCCCACGATTTCACCTGGTGCACAGCGACAGCTCTGCGACCCAAGGGGCCCTTGGAGGGGGGAGGTGAAGCTGAGCACGCATGAGCGGGAAGCTCTGTGCATTCCCCGGCAGAAGGCCGCGTTCAACCATCGGCCACAGGCCACCGGGCTCACGTGGGCAGGGAAGGCTTCAGCCACAAATCGGCACGGCCAACCCGGAGCACAGCTTCCGAGCCATCAGCGCTGGGCAGAAGTCACCAACCGAGGGGAAACTGAAAGGAGCCTAAAGGCAGCACGGTGCGGAAGGCGCCGCAGGTGAGGGCGTTACGGATGCTGGGGGTCACACCAGATCACGTCCAAAATACCTCCGTTTATGCTTAAGCGGAACAGTTAGACGGCATGATCCGCTGCCGGACACAGCACAGGAGCCCCTCACGGTCAGGCCGCTGGGAAACCCTCCTCTGCTGCCACCAAAACCGGTGAAGAGTGAAACGCTTCTAACAAATGCAAGAGGAGGGAACGGGCCGCACGGCAGGAGGGGGAGCAAGCCTCCTCACGTCGCTGGAACGCCCAACATTTTGTTCTAACAAACGACATTGCCCACATCCCCCTCGCTGCACAGGCTAGGCACGGCCAGGATCAGCTCGTTACTCACCGTGTAAAGCTCGTTAGTGACTTTCAGGAGCTCTTCATGCATCTGTAAGCCAATCTCCTTACTCTGGAAGACAAAAAGAAGAAGAGTTGAGACTCTGTTATGCTCACAACATGCATTTCTCAAAGAAAAATACATTTTGGAGGGAAGGGGAGAACTGTACGACTTCCAAATCCGTGCGTATCCGCCTTAATCCCCTCTCCAAGCTGGTGGGCACACGCTGCGAGCGGCGCTGCGAGCACCGCCCCACCAGGAGCAGGTCCTCGGCCGTGTCAGCAGCACAAGCGCATTGCCCTCGAGGCCCCATGCAGGTCGAGCACCGACAGCACACAGCCACGCAGCCCTTGTCCCCAGTGCTCCCGGCACGCCATGGCTCCAGGGGACCTCACGCCACTCGAAGGGGCATCAAACTCCAGAGACAGGCAGAAGTGTGGGAAGGGGGAATGGGATCCCTACAAAAACCCAGTTCAGTCCAGGAAGAAGAAATGAGGTGATGGGTTTTTTCCCCGGTAGCTGACCAAAGGTATGTGAAGGTCTCCGATGCTGCCACAGCACTGCTGCGGGACAGCGTGGCACCAGAACAGCCTGGGGATGCTGGCAAGCTGGTAGGGCAGGGAAGCAAGGAGTTGTTCTTCTCCTCTTCTCTTAACCCAAGTGACCAACCCGATCCCGACGAAGCCAGAAGCACTTGTCCCAAGCCCTTCCACCCCTCTGCCCAAGAGGATCCTGATAATCCCCGGCAAAAGCTTTCACAGCCATCCCACAGAGAACAAAACCACAGCAGCCTGTTCACGCCGCTATCTAGCTGCATTTTTCACATTGCTCTCATGCCTGTAGGGTTTCTCTTTTCCTCTCAGCGCGGGGCGCCGCGCCAACCCCCGCCCCACCAGGAGCAGGTCCTCGGCCGTGTCAGCAGCACAAGTGCATTGCCCTCGAGGCCCCATGCAGGTCGAGCACCGACAGCACACAGCCACGCAGCCCTTGTCCCCAGTGCTCCCGGCACGCCATGGCTCCAGGGGACCTCACGCCACTCGAAGGGGCATCAAACTCCAGAGACAGGCAGAAGTGTGGGAAGGGGGAATGGGATCCCTACAAAAACCCAGTTCAGTCCAGGAAGAAGAAATGAGGTGATGGGTTTTTTCCCCGGTAGCTGACCAAAGGTATGTGAAGGTCTCCGATGCTGCCACAGCACTGCTGCGGGACAGCGTGGCACCAGAACAGCCTGGGGATGCTGGCAAGCTGGTAGGGCAGGGAAGCAAGGAGTTGTTCTTCTCCTCTTCTCTTAACCCAAGTGACCAACCCGATCCCGACGAAGCCAGAAGCACTTGTCCCAAGCCCTTCCACCCCTCTGCCCAAGAGGATCCTGATAATCCCCGGCAAAAGCTTTCACAGCCATCCCACAGAGAACAAAACCACAGCAGCCTGTTCACGCTGCTGCTATCTAGCTGCATTTTTCACATTGCTCTCATGCCTGTAGGGTTTCTCTTTCATCCTCTCAGCCGATGACGGAGGGGGTGGACCTTGGCAGCACAACCAGCTTCAGGTGGTGCCAGTCTTAAAGACCTTCTGCCCCCTCGGAGACCTGCCCTCTCCTGGCTCCCCTGCCAAACATGAGACTTGCCGTTCTTTGCTCGGCAGTGGACTTAACAGACCCATGCACATTTTAATTCTACATATTATTTTTAAAAAAATGAAACAGCCCTGCAGCATGAGAAATGCCCCAGGGCCCTTATTTACCCCACTTCACAAATCCCGTCTGATATCCTTCCTGCTCCGGGAGCCGAAAAGACATCGACAGGGCTGCCAACCCACATCTGGGCTCCCTTTTTTCCATTTCTAAACACTAAACCCAAAATACAGATGGCCTCCTTTTCCAATCTGCCTCTGACAGGGAAGTTTAGATGGAAACTAGCACTTTGATTTCCTTTAATTTTCTACAAATCCTTAACAAAATAAAGTGTGTGATTATAAACATGAATGCGTACAGTACAGTAAATCCTCGCGCTATTTCAGAATCGCTGCATTTTCCTTTGAGGTCGATGTTTGTCCATGGGTCACCCAACCTGGGTGTAGGAGGCCATGACAAGGAAGGGCACACAATTTGATCGATCGATGCTGCAAACACACAGGGATGGATTGAGAGTTACCGACAACATCGCTGTGCCCTTCCCCTGGCAGCACTGATCTCCAGCCCGCCGCCCGGGCGCCGCGGGGGTCCAGCACACAACGCCTGCCCCCACGCTGGGGCCTCACTTCGTGCTCAGGCTGGCAGAGTGCACAAAAGCCAGGCTGCTCCGGAGCCAGACCCGGCTCATAGCCTGACTTCACCTCTTTTTCAACCAAACCTGCACGATGGGACGTGGGTGTGCGGCGGCTGCGCTCCCCACGCTGAGCTGGCTCGGCGCTGGACTCCCTGGTACGGCTGCGCAAGCGGCATTTGGGGGCACAGGCGTTGCTTGGGTTCACATTCCCTGGTCATACAGCATCGCCTGTCAATCCACCCTGGTTTTATGGGTTTATTGAAGACACCTGCTGCTGGACTTGCGATTTCAATCAACTTTAACATTTCAGATTATCAGGGCTTCCGAGCGCGAGCATTCCAGGTTTTAGGTTCACCTTGACCATGACCCATCCTCCACGTCTCGTCTTCAGTGGCTCATTTTCACTGTTCAGCCCCGAGTGAACCAAAGCCTTTCGCAAAAGGGGGTTTCATTACGGAAGAGCCGCACCACAGTTACACAATGAAGCTTCCAATTTCATAACCGCAACAGCCAGAGTTCAGCAAGCCCAGGAGAAAGCGCACTGCGAGTCTAAGAACTCGTGGCATCTTCCTCCCTCCACCCCCCCGCCGGCTCGAATCCTATTCTCCGTTTGTGTTTTCACTCCTCCTGCCAAGCAGGATGAAGCCGCCCCAGTCGCCCACCTCCTGCAGCAGGAGCACGGCATTTCACGGGAGAGGCCACAGCCTGGGGAGCCGCACAGCGTTCAAGCGCGGCCGCAGACCGAGCCAGTGCCTACCCAGAAATCCAGCAGCTGGATGCCACTGCAGATGTGCACGCATGGCTTTGCTCCCGCCCTTGTAATTACACCCCACATCTCTCTGTAGAAGCTTCTTGGCTAGGAAACATTTATTATAGCTTGAAGATGTGTTTAAACTAAGTATAGACACCCCCCTCCCCTCCTAAAAAACACCCAAACCAGAAAAATGAGCAGTTTCTCTCAGATTTCTTCAAATAACTCCACGCATTTTTGTGAGCGCAGTCAGGGGAAGCTCGGTCCCATCAGCTCCTTGGCGGGGTGGCTAAAGAAGACACAGAGAGGGCTTTACCCAAAGCTAACTGGACAACCTGAGTACTCGAAAAGTTTAACCTCAGATTCTTAAATGTCAGAATTGAACACAAAGAGGGAAGCAAGGAACCTACAGCGTACGAGCACTCTGCACCCAGTGGACAGCCAGGAATCACAGTTGAGCTGCGGATTAGCGTCAGGGTGCTTGGAAGAGCCCCAGCTCCAGAAGCGGGACTGACGCACGCTGCTGCCATTTGGAAGTGAGAGAGGTGCCAAGAAGATGCCAATGACCAGAAGGTGCTAAGGGCCCCCAGCCAGCTGGACACCTCGTCTGCCGGAAACCCCAACCCCCCCCGACACCGGCAGTCGCTAGCTGGTCTCAGACATCTCACTGTGCCTTGCCAGTAAGCAACAGAGCTATTGAAAGCATCCACCCCTCCCAGATACAAGGGAACATCCAGAATATGAGTTATTTAAGTCAAGGTCTACACATGGGGGTCTCAGACCCAGAGCCCCCGCCCGCAGGAGCCGAGTCATGCGTGACGCCGCCAGCCGGCCCCGCCGCCGTCAGCCCAAGCCCAGGCCCTGGCCGGAGCCGTTCCCCGAGTGAAGGGAGGAGGACGGGCTTGCGGTGGGAGCAATGGCCCAGAGTCAGCTGCAGCTCTTGCCTCTGCCCCAGACTCCCCGTGCGGCGCAGGGGAACTCCGCAAAGCCGTAATTTTCAAACCTAATTTTAGACTCCTAAATAGAGCAACAAAAAATGGCTCAGCTGTCAGCAGCGTCGCTCCCATGAGCCCCCCGAGACGGGGGACCACAGGCGAGTGCTACGTTTAAAGACCCTTTCACTTCCAGACACCGTACAGCAGATGCCCGCACCCTGCGACTGGAGACCGCAGCGGTCTCTGGCATCGTAAGTCTCCCGGCACCCAAGAGGGCAGCGTCCCACCTCGTGACGCTGGAGCCTCTTCCAAGCACAGGCAGGCGAGAAGCCGAAGGACTCGCCTCTCCTCCGAGTTCGCTGCCTCCCCTTTTTACAACAGAGAAATTATCTGTGTGTTTATGGGAGACAACGCCAAAATGTCATTCCAATTCCCTGGCACCACCCGCAAAACCCAAACTCCAGTTTAGCCGCTTGCTTTATGCCTTCCATTCCTTTTTTACTGGCTGGGATAGCAATGGCTGCAGTTCAGCAAGTTTATTAAAGTTCTTGCCGCTGCAGACAAAGTGAGGGGAAGCAGCAACTCTGACTACTGGCAACGAAAAATGCATATTTTAAAGACAAAGAAAAGAGCTCCCTTCCAGACAGACACCACTTCTTCATTAAACCACCATCCAGGGCACTGCAGTAGGGGGTATAATTAAATTCACTGTCACAGAACATAATTAAATCTCACACTGGGGAATAACGCAGCACGGTTATTTCGGACATAGCAATGCGCCGTCTCAAACGTGTAATTTCCTCTGTTCCAGTCTTGGGAGCAGCAGCCAACTTCTTCCCTTCTGCCGCAGCAGGAGGTAAAGGGGGAGGCGACACCTGCCTGGCCGAGTTGTCCCTTGTCCCTCGGCGGCGTGTCCCTGGGCCGGGGTCTGCCTCTGCCAGGAGGATGCGCTGCGAGGTTTCACGGTGACGGAGACTCACTGCGACAACAGATCAAGTCAGATCTCTGCAGTGACACATCTTAGCGTCTCCGCTTATTGCCTGACTATTAGCAACATTAGCACACTTGCCTTGGTAACCTCCTCCTGCGCCAGGAACGCGACTCGCGCTGGAAGCTCCAGGGAAATTTGCCCAATTGAGTTTTCTTCCTCTACTTTCCTCGTTAGCAGGGCTTGCCCGGCTGCCAGAGCAGGCAGGGAGGCACATCGCACAGGCTAAGCTGAGGGTGGGGGACGCTCGGACAGAGGACGCTGGGCCCCCGTGCTGCTGTGGAGCCCCCCGACCTACCTGCAGGTCCCTGCCGCAGGTCCCCTTTGCAGGAGCTACGCCATACCCTGAAATACCCGCGCAGCTCCGCAGCACGTGTGGACGGGACACCGCTCCTCACTGCAAGCCATCAGGACGCCATCTCCAGGAAAGCTTCAGCTGAGACAGAGGAGACAATAGCACAGAGGGCACGCTCCCCGCGTTGCACATCTGCAGGCTCACCCCACCACATCCACCCCCGCGTCAGCGTCAAGGGCTGGCAGCGAGCAGGGGAAACCCCACAAACCCCAGCCCACCTCTAGGGCCGTGCTGAAGAACCAGGGCGAGCTGGGGAGTCAAACCCAATTTCCACTCTGGAGTTCCTGCAGCTCCGTACCCCCCCGCCCAAACCACCAAAGCCATGCGAGGAGGAGGCGCACCTGAGCCCCCACCAAAACGAAGCCGCACAGA